GGGCCCGTCGCCGGTGATCGCGGGCGCCGGGAAGGGCCCGGTCCGCTACGGGCGCCGGTACCGCGGAGCCGCAGGGGGAGGCGGCCCCGGGGAAGAGCCGCTCCGGCTCCGCCAAACCGCATCGGTTTCGGGGAGGGGAAACCCGCGGAGGAAAGATCCCGCCCGGCCGGGAAAGCCGAAACTTGCAGCCTTCCCGCTGCACCGGCGATTTCCCGTCCCGCCCGGCTCTCCCCGGCTCTCCTGCCTGGGGGAGGGTGTTAGCTATTTTTCGGGGAGTTTCACGGACCCCGCAGGTCCGGAGCCACCCGCGGCGGGGCGGGGGCCGCGTCCCTGCCGCTGCCGGAGCAGCCTGGGCAGCGGGGCCGCGGCCTCCCCCGGCACAGAGGAGGGCTGAGTTCCCTCTCTCCGTCTGGGAGTGGAGAAACGGCTGTAGAGCTGCGAGGGACCCACTACAGGCTCGTGGAGGATGGGAGGTTTTTAGGGGCCTCACCTCCTGTGTTCACCAGTGACCTTGGCACAAGGAGCAGGAGCACTCCTAGCCTCTTCGTGGGGCATCCTCGTCACCAAGCGTTCCCCACGCCCAGATGACGTGGGTGATGCAGGGACCGAGGTCATGTCCTTTGGGAGCTCGTAGGAAGGAGAGAGGCCACAGGTTAGCATGGGTGGATCACCACCCTGCCAACATCCCATGGGAGAGGGAAACAGGGACCTGGGACAGCCCCACCGTATCCCAGTATAACTACACTAGAAGCTTGGGCACAAAAGCATTGGTTCCATCGCACAGGTCAGCGCTGATCCCTTACATCCAGGAAGGCTGAGCTGCAGCTGCAGCAGGGAGGCACTGGGCTCTGGTACCTCTGTCTTTGTCTTTCCTGAAGGTCTCTCAGCAGCTCCAGCCAAGTTTCTGGATCGATCAGAGCCACACTGCCAAGACGCCAGCCCAGCAAGGACTGCAGCGTGACCAGGGGCTCCAGGCACTGCCTGCTGCTCTTCCTCCCCGTGCAAACCAATACAGCCATCCCATCCCAGCTGCAGGGCAGTGGAGTTTTCCTTTCACAGCCAGGGGTAAGCCCCATGGGGTGGGGACGCCATCCTTCAGCACTGCTAAAAACTGTGGCCCTGTACAAGGCACCTTGCTTGTATACTCCAACTGCCCACCCAATTTGGTCTGATCAGAGATGCAGGAACAGCCTGGAAGGACCCATTCCCCCCTAAATACTGTCACCCTATGGTGTTCCCCCTTCTCCTCCTCCCCTCCAGGCAAGGGAGGGGGGGTCCTGGAGACTGCCTTACCTCACAGCTCTCGTGCACAACTCCCAGCTCAGTCTATGAAGGATCAGGATTGAGGGATGGGCCCAGTGCATAGCACGGAGGGGTCTGCAGCAGGGTGTTGCTGCCCACGATTTACACACATCCACCGGCTCTTACACAGATCACAAGTACTGGAGCACAACCAGTCTCATACAAAGGATGGTCACCGGGTGAACCACTAAAATATGCGAGAAATACACTCCAAAGCCTCTACTCCCACAGCACACCTGCACCTTGGGCAAGGGTCCTAGAAAAGATTGGGGGGAGCATTTCAGCCAGCTCACTGAAGTCTCTGAGGGCCAGAGTTTCAATGATGAGCTCACCCAGGGCTGAATTAGATGCATCAGCAGCTGAAGAGAATTAAACAAGAGGAGAAACACGACGAGGCTTTCTCCTTCTAGCTCTAGGGTCTGCAGGCAGCCAGGTATCACAGAAATTGTGTGATCTAGGAAATCTAGCATTAAACAGAAGCTACCTACCAAATTAACAAGCCCACACCATTGGAAGAGGGGCAACACATCTCCCTCAGGCATCTCTCTGCTGGGGTTGCCCAGTTCTCATATTTTGTGCTGAGGAGCTTGTGTGGACCGGCAGGTCCCTGCCATTCACTGCTGGAAGGAGACCAACAGCACTCAGCGCCAAGGGCTGAGGACTACAGTCACAGCAACCGACGTGGCCTCAGCCAGCCAGGAGCTAGATCCCTCCTTCAACATCACCTTAACTCTGCCCAGCGACGAGGATGCAGAACCACGTAAGAGCAGGGAGGGCTAGACCCAGAAGCAGGCACACAGGAGACCAAAGAAAATGATGATGAGTTGTGCTCCCTGGAGTTGTGCTCCAGGCACCTCCCTTAGGATGGGAGGCACAGAGCATCGTGATGCTTACTAGCATCATCAGGGTGCCTTGAATGCCTGAAGCCAACTTGACCCAGAAAACAAAGCACTGCCCACCACATAGAGACATCCCTATACACCACCCTCTCCTCCCTGTCACACTCACAGCTCTTTATAGGCATCAGCTGCTGCACACCTGGCTGGGCTGGCTGGCCCTGAGTAAAGAGGCAAGCCGGAAATCAGCCCACCACCACAAATCCTCCCCCTTTACCACTGAAATCCTCCAAACCAGGTCTGCCTTGGGTAGAGCTCACTGCACAAAGGGCATAGGGAGAGACACAAGAGAGGTATGGTCTGGCAGCCACTGGCCTTGTGTAGGTACAGGTTGGTCCTTGTCCACTAATGCTGACAAATGCCTGGGGATATATCAGGGCTTCTGTGTCTTGTATCATGCTTTCCACCACAATGTACCTCACCACGAAATAAAAGCCATCATCCCCTGAAAGCGGGTACACACACTGCTGCCCAGCCACCCTCTCTGACCCAACCACCACCATCAAGCTCTGGGAGCCCCACGTGCTTCCTAATTGGTGCAATTCCTCCTCCTCCTCCGCTCTGTGCCCTCTGGTGCTATGGGAGGTACCAACTCAGCAGAGTCTCCAGAGCTTCCCACCTCAGCCTTTGATGGGACAGCGGAGAGCTGGGAGGGAGGCAGAGGAGATGAGCAGAGAAACCAGGCAGCAAAAAGAGCCTCTCAGGGGAGCTAAGGTGAGATGGTGAAGGCAGCCCAGGGCCCAGCCCAGACAAGAGGTCCTTGAGGAAAGGCCAGTGGTGGCAGCACTCAGTTCAGAGTCACGCCATGAAGATGTCAGTGTCTGAAAGTCACCCAGGGTCTACAGGGCATGCCCTTGAATCACTAAATTCAGAAGGAAGCTCAGAGCTGAACTGAATGTGAACCAGCTCAAACCTTTATGGCTTGCAATTTATTTTTTTTTAATTCCCGGTCCAGACCTGCTGTTGCTGAACTTCAGCAGAAACTGAAGCAGCCACTACAGAAACCAAACTAAGACAGGGCAGGAAAACACACCCTCTTGATTTCCAGGTGAGAAGAAACAAATCCAGCTTAGCACAAGCAATGGAGTTTAAGGGTTTTTCATTTTCCAAGAGCTTCATCATAGGTGGTTAAACCTACTATTTTTTTAAGTCCCCTCCATAGAGCACTACAGAGCGAGCAGCTCAGAACTAACAAATGCTATTAAACATTTGGCCTGTGAACTAAAACAAAGCTTGTCCGTGGCAGGGGGGACCAGCTGCTAACTCAGAAAGTTCATGAGATGTGATGCACGGTGGGAAAGAGAATATGACGCACTGCCTTACACCAGTCGTTCCCAGAGCCTGGTTTATTTATTATTCCCAGAGCAGAGGAAAGTGTCAGAGCTTAATCTGAGGCTACAAGGGTTTTCACGGGGAAAACAATGACTGGATCTGCAGAAAAAGTGGTGGCAAGACCCAGCGACAGGAATCGAATTTGCCAGAGCAAAATTCAGAGGGGATAGGAGGAGCCAGGTTTCAGTAGGAAGGGTAGGTAGCTGGACCCTGTTATGCTCTTCTTGTTATGCCCGAAAAGCGGCTGATGTGCCTTGATTTTGAAGGCACCATCACAAAAAATGTCTGCAAGCAAAAGCGCCCACATCGGAAGGGACTTAAACTTTGCTATTTCTTGATTTTTGAGTTCTTCAGTGCTATTTTTGAATTCTTTGTGCTGCTATAGCTCCACACAAGATGGGGCTGAATATATGTGCAAGGACAGAAGTTTTCTTTGGCTTATCCATGACTGCAATTTCTACTATGTGATGAAAATTAGGTTTTTGCAGGCTGCAGACTAGGTAAGCTCCAGCCATGTCAAGCTGATGTTCTCCTGCAGTAACTCCTCCTGAAGGAAATCCACACTAGTGAGTCATTACTAACTGTTGTGAGGTTTGCTCCTCGGGTTGTCTGTAGAGAGTAGGCCCTGTGCAAGGCTAGGGGAAGCGCTGCTCGTGGGCAGCATTTTGACATCATTGTACAAAGGCCCACATGAATGAGGAATCAGAGGGTTAGGACCAAGTCCAGGAGATTACATCAGACCTCAGGCCCTCAAAGACTGCAGATAGAGCTCACTGACTTCTTTCCTCTGCATAGGACAGCCAACTGATAGTGACATTTTCAGATGAGCAAGCAGTCTCTTATTTACCGAAGCCACGCTCCATGTCTTATGGTTGCGCTGCCCTACCAGACACGGGGTGGGGGAGCATGTGGTAGGGTGTGCATTAAGCAGATGATCAAGCACACAAAATTTTCAAAAATACACTACTGGCCGTCTGTAGAAAGAGGACAAGCCCTGCTTGAAGTGCAAGCTAGAGACTTTATGGCCCAGAACCCAGAGACCACCTTTCCAAGGTCTCACAGTAGACTGCTAAGCATAGGGGTGTCCAGGAACCACAAAGAGCAACTTTGAGACTTCCTGCCCCAGTCTTGGTTATCATATCCCTTCACTTCCAACTTCAAAGAGTCACTGTTCATATTGCAGGCAATGCTCTGGATTTGCTGGCAGACAGTGGACCGAGATCAGCATCAAGACAGTTGAGGTGAATTGCTCCCGGGATTTAGCAAGCTCTGCTTGCACTGACTGCAGTGGGCACACGCAGGACCACCTGGGCTAGGTGCTAGATTCCACTCTGCTGTCCAGTTTATTTTCTTCCGTTACCCATGTGTTGAGCTGTTCTGCCAACATGGAATATCAGGAACTCTGAATCCCTCATCGCTGACTCAAATTAAGCCACCAAGAGGTATCACATTGCCTACATTAAACCCCTCTCAGAGAGGGTTGAGCATGGCCCAATGCACCTTTGGATGTCTCGACCAAATTAAACTCCAACCTTGCAGATCTGTGTAGCCACTTACGACCACAGCTGCAACAGCTGTGTGCTGAGCGGAGC